GAAGGCAAGTAGGGCAATAGCATAGTGGGCAACAAGAGCCAAAGGGAGAAGAGAAAAGTGTCTGCAAGCAGGCGGGACCACTTATGCAGGGCCTTGTGGACAATGGAAAGGAATTTGAATTCTGGGGAATATCTTAAAGAGAGGAATGCTGTGACACATACCCATTTTAGAAAGATCACTCAGGCTGCTATTAGAGAATGGACCATGCCAGAGGAGACCGGGAATGGAGACAAGGAAGACTAGGTAGGGGTTTGGGTCCCAGGAAGAGAGAGGGTAGTGGTTTAGATCTGGGTGGAGGCAGTGGAACAGTTAGTTGTGGTCCATTGTGAAATGCATTTTGAAGATTAGAAAAATAGGAAGATTCATTGTAAGGTGTAAGAGAAAGCAAAGAGTTAAGGATGACTCCTGGGTTTTTGTCCTTAGCAACAGGGTAAATTGTGTCTTCATTTAATAAGACGGGGAAGACTAGGAAATAAATGGGTTTGGAATGGGAAGGAGTCAAGTATTCTGTTTTAGACTTATTAACTTTGAGATTACTACTCTACATTCTCTCTTGCATACCAAGAGAACTTGATGAACTTTATGCCTTAGTTTCCTCATCTTTATAATATAATAGTACCTACTACCTTCCTGGATTGATGTGAAGATTAAATGAGTTAATATGTATAAAGCAGTTAGAACAGTTCCTGTCGCAGAATAAGAAGCATGATATAAGTGATTGATATTAATAGTAGGGCAGTGTTTTTTTTCTTTTTAGTTGCAAATGGTGATGAGGAGGAGAGAGAGAAAAATTTGAAAATTTAGGAGAGAAAGGGAAGCAGCAGGGTGCACAGCAGAGACAAGGAATGATTCCCAGAGTCCAAGTAGAAGATTGACCTCAGATAGTAGCAAGGACACTTCTGCTGCAGAAACAAAGAGATTCTGCTTGTGTGGTACAAATGCATTCGGACCAGAGAGGAGAGTGTGTGGAGGAGATAGTTCTCCTCCGACCACACCAATTTTCTCCATGAAATATGAGACAAGGTCATTATCTAGTATGAAGGGCAGGGAAGGGGTGCAGGAGACTTAAAATGAGAGTCAGGAGTATGAACTTGTCTTCTCCAAAGTGGGGGGATGAGCTCACTAGGAAGATAGTCTGGCAGGTGGAAGAAACATTGGTATCTCAAACTGCCTCAAAGGATACAAGGTTGGTTTTGCTGTGTGTTCCAGTTATTTATTCTCAGTTGAGTGAGTGGTGAGTAGCTGCTGTGTGTCTAGCACTGCACTACATACTTGGGGAGTACAGAGGGGGACAAGGTGTGTGCAGTCTGGATAAAGAGAAAAGTTTTTAGTAAATGAAATAATGTGAGGACAAAAAAAAAATAATTCAATTTGGAACCAAAAGAGCATACTATGGAAAAGCATGCTACCAAATTCAGAGGAAATGGAATTTGTTGTGTGCTGGAAGCATAAAGGATGGCCTCCCAGTGGAAGTAGTCTGAGCTCAGCCTTGAAAGACAGGTTATAGGAACTCAATCATCCCCAAACCAGAGGCCTTTATTACCCATAATCCCTGGACTTTGTATCAATCTTTATCATGCATATTGCCCCAAGACTGCTCTGATAACATAGAGCTGATTTACCTGCTTTGTCTAAAGACAAAGGATGGCATGAGCTATCCTATGTCAGCAGCAGCAACAATAGCAGAATTCAACAGACTTCTGGGTTTTGTTTTGGTTTGTTTGGTTTTTTTTGAGAGGGGGACAAGTATTGTCTTCTGAAGCAGAGAAGGTTTCTTCAATCTTAATTGGCTTTCCTATTCCTAACATCTTCATTTGCAGGGCATATGGGAAAGTGCTAATTCTGAAAGATTCTGGCAGAAAGATAATAACCAAAGAGGTCATGCTGAAATCCAGCCACATCTTTTTCCCTTGACAATGGGGCCCACATTTTTGTTCCTTGCACAATAGAACAGTCTGTTTTGTTATCAATAATTATCAGCCTAGTCCAACTCTTGAGTCCTGACCTTCTCTGAGGCCCTTGGGACCTACCCCAGCAAAAGGGTCATAAGAGACTCTACTGCCTCTCTTAAGTGTCAGGCTAAGGAGTAAGTGGAAAGACTTATGGCTAAACCCCAAAAATGTGTTTCCTTACAGTGTTCAAGGCAGAAGGATCCAAAGTCGTTTTTTAAACTGGAATTGCTTGTAAGGCTGCTTCCCTAAAAGGCAACTCAAATCCTGCCTTTTGCTTGCCCTTCCCTGGCTGCCTGCCACCATGCTGCTACTGAGACTCTCTAAGGGCAAGGGTTCTTCTGGTCCCTTCTCCCCTCTCTGAATCCCCTAACTCTCCATTCAGCTACCTGCAGCCCATACAGGATAAAACTGAATGTTTGGAAAGCTTTTCCAGTAATGTTCTATAGGTAAAATGTCCCTAGTTACACATGGTACAACACACAGCCCATACTTTCAGACTCTGGGATGGTACAAGGGCCTCCTGGAATCACTTCCTAGCAGGCTTAAGCCCAGTCCAGGTCACTTCAGAACTTCTGAAGTTACTATTCCTTCATACACCTCTGTGTTATGATCTTGTCTCAGGCTATCAGATAATTTGGAAGTCAGACAAATTTGGTTATCTACCCTGTGTCCTCCAAGTGGTTGTGATCCACTCAATTAGAGAAGTTATCACAGCCTAAAAGAAAGATGTGCTCACAAAGGACTGTGGATTTCATTTGCCCTGCCCTCTGCAAAGTACATTTTCCTTGGGTTCTATATACTGGGAATAAGGGCTGTGACCCAGGCCTCCTATGTGAAAACCACACCTCACCACCTTTCTCACACTAGATGCTGCCTTCCCTGCCTTCTTTGCCTGAGCCCTCGAGATGAATATTTTATAGGGACCTATCTAACTTTCCAGGCTCAGGAGTGGTAGTAAGAAACAAAAGTGGCTTTGAAAATCCTTATAAAAGTGAAGCAAATGAAGCACTTAGAATATGAGGGAGGACAGGAAGGGGAATCCATTAAAGGCAATATAATAATACAGATAAAAATTGAAGGGTTGGTAAAGGAGATGAGTAAGAGGAATCAGGGTGAGATAAAGGGGTTCAAGGAGCTTGATCTAATAATAACAAGTGAGCTCCACTTGGTGATTGCCAAGATCCGTAAATGGAGAAAGGCAGAAAAGCCTTCTGTTTGCCATTGGAAGGAAGGAACTAATCCCTTTGGAAAAGGAATGGGTTCTAAGAGGGTTGAAAGAATTGCTCCAGACACCACATGATTTCCAAGGAGTAAGGGAATGTAAACCAGCAGCAAGAGCAAGTCACTACTGTGCATGTCTGTTCTAGTTGTGCTTCTGGCTCCCTGTGTGGTCCTAGATCTGTCATTTCTTTCCTGGATTCTTTTTCTTTCTTTCTTTTTTTTTGGAGAGCGCAAGTGGGGGAGAGGCAGAAAGAGAGGGACAGAATATCTAAGGTGGGCTCTGTGCTGACAGCAGCGAGCTTGATGTGGGGCTTGAACTCTTGAACTGCAAGATCATGTCCTGAGCCAAAGCCAGACATGCAACCAACTGAGCTACCCAGGTGCCCCTGCTTCCTAGATTCTTAAATGTACTGACACATGCTGGAGATTTGGGAGCTATATTTATTAAATATTCTTAAGTCCTGGAGAAAAAGATTTTTCTTATTTATTTATGCTCATCAGCTTATTTATATTTCATGACACCTACACCATCTCTTTGAAAATCAATTATGAGATGTGATCTACATAGAACATGCACCAAGGGGCGCCTGGGTGGCGCGGTCGGTTAAGCGTCCGACTTCAGCCAGGTCACGATCTCGCGGTCCGTGAGTTCGAGCCCCGCGTCGGGGCTCTGGGCTGATGGCTCGGAGCCTGGAGCCTGTTTCCGATTCTGTGTCTCCCTCTGTCTCTGCCCCTCCCCGGTTCATGCTCTGTCTCTCTCTGTCCCCAAAATAAATAAAAACGTTGAAAAAAAATTTAAAAAAAAAAAAAAAAAAAAGAACATGCACCAAGTACCAGATGATGTGGGTTAAGATTGTCAGAGAACATAAACATTATATATGTGCCAATAGTATATTTTTAAATCAATGTTCTTTGTTGGAAAGTATTGTAAGGGTTAATAAAGACCTTATCAGAGAGACCTAGGATTTCCTGAACATTGCTGTTTGTGGGGAGATCAGAACTAACTTTCTTAAAAAAGGTCTCCATTTTAACTCAATCATTTGGCCGTTCAAGTTTATCTGTCTGTAACTTCTTCCTTCTACAAATGATTTTTTGATGTGGGACCACTTGGAAGCTGTCCTAAATGCCACCTAGATAACACCTTAAGTTCAATTTGTGAAGGTAAGTTACCATCTTGAAGCAAAATGGTAGTCAGTATAGGTGTTCAATGGCATAATTCTGTATTCATTCTAAGAAAGACTTACCAAATCATTAGCTTATAGATTAATGGACTGTGAGTGCCACACAAGCCTTAAATATCATGTAACAGATAAGGACACCAAATTACTTGCTCACAGGCACACAGCAAGGTGCAAGGCAAGATCAAGATCTTCATTTCCACTCAAACCCATAGCACTTCAGATTTACTTGTAGATTCCATGATATCATTTAAGATTTGAGTGATTGTGACTAAATTTAACACTGTGGAAAAGCACATAAAAATAATTTTGATGTTGGTTCAACTTATGATGTAGAATGAAAATGAAAACCAAAAGCAACTTGTCAATAAAAGCCTGACTTTTTTATTGGATGTCAGTGATATCTGACAAATAGTAGAGGTTAGAAAATAAATGTCTTCTAAGAAGAAAAACTTCAATTTCCTATATTAAAAATAACCCACTGGGTCAGTTGGTTAAGCATGCTGCTCTTGATTTCAGTTCAGGTCATGATCTCATGGTTCATGAGTTCAAGTTCTGCATCAGGCTCCATGCTGGCAGTGTGGGGCCTGCTTGGGATTTCTCTATTTCTTTCTCAAAATAAATCATCTTAAAAAAAAATAATCCATTGAACACTGCCAATATTTTTATAGGTAACAACTGTCCTCACACTTATCAGCAGGATGTGTGACCTCTGTCCCTTTATTTATGTAGTAATATTTCTATAGGTGTTTAAAGTATTTTATCAGTCACTTTTTAAACCCCATTTTATCCTCAAGAAAAAGGATAGGTGGAAGTGAGTATTTTTTGAAAATCAAAGAAAGTCAAAAGGTTTGGTTGAAGATTATTTAGGAAGTATGTTGTGAGTCTGGTAATAGTCTAACTGAAGTGTCGAGGTCAAGGGCCTGCAGTAGAACTAAGACTTTAGAAAGAGGGAAGGAGGGAGGGAGAGAGGGAGGGAGAAAAGCGAGTCTGGGGAAGTAAAGAAAGAGAAAAAGATATGAGGGAAGAGATTGTTTCTTTTCTCTCCTGAAGGCCTCCTAGCAGAATCCATCAACCAAGAGCAGGACAAGCATTGCATAGAGAAATGGGAACACAACCAGTTGGAGATGTTTTAGCCTTGCACACAACCTAAGTCTAATAGTTTACTGAGCTGGTCCCCTATTCAAGTTATACAGTCCTTATTGAACTTTTGGGCTTCACCTTCAAGAGGTCCTCCTTCACTTTCCCTAAGCCCTGAATTCTTCAGGAATTCTGCAGGGCCTGGGATAGCAGCACTCAGTCCCTCCAGGGAGAGAGAAAAAAGCACCTTGTTTCCTGAGCCCTGGTGCTTCATTCCCAAGAGTGGGGAGTACAGAAGGGTGGGAAAAGGGTGAAGATATGGTTTGGGGAGGAAGTTTTCATCTCCAATCCAGAGAGCTTCTCTGGGGAGGAGAGTGATGGTAAATGGAGCCTCACTATTATTTTCCTGTGTTGCTGTTGGAGATGGGGGTTCCTGGCAGCTGGCTTTGGCCCTGGCTTTGGCCTTTGTTTCCCTACTCTCTCCTCTTGGCACAGTCAGAAGCTTTCAGTGTTGTGCTTTCAGGATCACATGGTTCAATCTTTGCACAGCTGCCTGGGGAGAAAAAAAAAAGAGTGAGAGAGAGACTGAGATGGAGAGAGCACCCGTTCTATTCTTACCATGTGTGAGGCTAAACAATTATTATTGGCATGACTAAAAGCCCATCAAAGCATTCTCTCCCTGACCCCTACCCCTAGTTACATAACACACCACTTCTCACTCCATTTCTGGACCATTCACACCCAAATCATCCTCTGCATTCCACACACAGGCTTCTCTCCACATTCCTGTCCACCGTCCCCTGAGCACACACACTCTCTCACATCCACAATACAGAGGGTGTGTGTATATATATTATCACACCTACTGAAAGGGAAGTCAACATTTTAATCAACCCAATAATCTCTGCACCTGATGCTGGATGAAGAGTTTGATTTTTTTTGGAAAGTATCAGTGGCTCTGGCAATTTACACACACACACACACACACACACACACACACACACACACACCTGGCCTTTTCCATACCACTTCAAAGTTTTACAGTCTGTGTCCTTAACCCTCTTTCTTCAATATAAACTCATAAGCTCCATCCTCCTCTTTTCCACTAACACTGCATCTTTCCCACCTGAAAAATTAACACAACCATGGTTTTTCAAAAACCAATCCTCCAGGCCCCCAGTAGTAAGTTTCACCCCTCAGTCTTTCCCACAAAAACTTGACTCAGCCTGCTCTGTTTATATCACCAATTAATGGCCTGTATCAGTCACTGCAAGCAGCAACAGCTAAAGTGAAAAAGTGTCCTTGGCTTGCCTCATGTTTCTTCAGGCTACCTCAAACTGGTCTTTACTAGCTTAACACCTTGAATGGCCAACAGGAAATGTGATCTTACAAAGTATGGTTATAAAGTAAGATAGTTCTGGGGCACCTGGGTGGCTCAGTCGGTTAAGTGTCCGACTTTGGCTCAGGCCATGATCTCACGGCCCATGGGTTCGAGCCCCGCGTCGGACTCTGTGCTGACAGCCTGGAGCCTGCTTCGGATTCTGTGCCTCCCTCTCTCTCTGACCCTCCCCCGTTCATGCTCTGTCTCTCTCTGTCTCAAACATAAACACTTTATTTTTTTTTTAATTTTTTTTTCAACGTTTATTTTTTTTTGGACCAAGAGAGACCGAGCATGAACGGGGGGGGGGGCGAGAGAGAGGGGGACACACAGAATCGGAAACAGGCTCCAGGCTCTGAGTCATCAGCCCAGAGCCCGATGCGGGGCTCGAACTCACGGACCGTGAGATCGTGACCTGGCTGAAGTCGGACGCTTAACCGACTGCGCCACCCAGGCGCCCCTCAAACATAAACACTTTAAAAAAAAATTTTTTTTAAATAAAGTAAGATAGTCCTTTAAAAAAAAAAAAAAAAGACTAGTCTTAGGGCACCTGAGTGGCTCAGTCATTTAAGTGTCTGACCTTTGGTTTCAGCTCAGTCATGATCTCAACAGCTTCATGGGTTCCAGCCCCACATCAAGCTCTGCACTGGCAGTGTGGTACCTGCTTGGAATTCTCTCTCTCTCTCTCTCTTCCTATCTCTCTCTGCCCCTCCGCTACTTGCACAGTCTCTCCCTCTCCAAAAATAAATAAATAAACTTAAAAACCAACAAACAAACAGACCAGTCTTAGATATTCAAATAAAATTTCACATGATATTGTGATCAGCATAACTGGGATTGATCTTTTACTTCTCAAAGTTATTAGCGGGGCATTCATTTAAATGTGTAATTTTTCATATGTTAATTAAAAACTAGTCTCATTACTTTATAGCTCCAATTCTATATCCAAGAAAGTTTTGAAACATACAGAAGCATAAAGATAACTAACAAATACATAATAAATGCTTACAATGCTTATTCCTTGGTTTATTTGCTGAAATTGTATCTTGTATAGTATGGGGTGACAAACTACAGCCTGAGGTCCAAATCCTGTTTTTGTGCAATCTGTGAGCTAAGGATAACTTTTATATTTTTTCAATGGTTGAAGAAAGCAGAACAATATTTCATGACATGTGAAATTATATGAAATTCAAACTTCAGTGTCCGTAAAGTTTTATTTGAACATAGCCACACTTACTTGTTTACATATTTTCTATGGCTGCCTTCGCACTACAACAATAGAGTTGAGTAGCTAAGACAGAGACCATATATCTCCCAAAACCTAAAATATTTAGGAAATATTTTAACAGGAAAGTTTGCTGACTCCTGCTCTATGGTATGGCTTTTCAATCCCTAAATATCTCTGGGAAGGGTTCTATATATTTAGGAACAAATTGGGTTTACTAGAAACAGAAACCTGAAATGATAGTGGCTTAAATAAGGTAGGGGTTCATTTTTCTCTCATGTAAAAGAAAACTGAAGATAGGCACACCGAGCACACCGAGTGTCCTGGTGGTCATCAGAAACTAAGTCTTCTTTCTGCTCTGCTATCCTTACTACAATGGCTTTCATCTTCAAGATTACATCATAGTCACATAATGGATACTGGAACCCCAATCATCACATCATGTTCCCAGGAGCAGGAAGTAGAAGGTGGTCAGAACAAAAGAGCAGTACTCCCAGATGAGTTAGCCCTCATTAAACAACTTCACCAGAAGTTCTATCCAAATATTCTTCTTATACCTAATTGGGCAGCTCCATTTGCAAAGGAGTTTGAGCAATGTAGTTCACAGCTGAGAACATTGCCACCCAAATAAAATCAGGATTCTGTTAATGACACACAATAAGAGAGTGGGTAGTGGTTAGCCAACCAGCACTCTCTGCCCCAGGAACAAATGGCTTCTCCATATCCTTTTCAATATATGCTGCATAACAGTTTCTCATAAACATACCAGGTTTTGTTCAGTGTTTTTTTTTTTTGTCTTTTTTTAAGCATACATCCTTATTCAGCCTCTTCAGGTCTAGCTCTTTACAAAGTATATTCCACAAATATTGAGTCATTTAGCCCTTACAACAACCCTGAGAATCACAACAATCACCCCTGGAAAACTGAGGAAATTAAAACTCAGAAAACTAAAATAGAATACCCAAGGTCGCTCAAATAAGTAGTAGCATTGGGACTCAAGTCAAAGTCTCCGACCCCAAATCCAGTTGTTTATTTCCACCATATCAAAACTGTACCCAGTTTGATGCCACAGATGCCCAGACCATTCCTGCCAACAATATCCATTATCTCTAGTCTCCTCTCTCAACCAATTTCTTTCTTTTCAATGTCCCCTTCTCCTCTCTACTAACTTGGCATCATTGAAGCCCTAACAATTTCTTGCCTAGACAGTCATAGCACCTCTTTTCTTGTTGTCTGGCCTTGAATACACTTTTTGTTCTATTAAGTTTTGTGTACAGGTCATTTTTTTCTCTACTTTCTTTGTAACAATAATTATAACTTTGTATAATTTTGTAATTAATTAACAGTGATGTAACTTTATTCAACAATGTATATTAATGTTTCAAAAACTAGGTACAAAAAAAATAAAACTATTAACAAGGATGACAATCCAATGTGTGGTATGGCCAACATCCTCTGCCACTTTCCTTAACTTGTGGCTAGGTTTATACATGCCTTAAAAAACACGGACTTTTATTGAAAAGTCACAGGGCTTTTTAACTGACCATGATAGTTCATTATAAATTTACTTTTTCCCAGCTTTATTGAGGTATAATAATTGGCACACAATATTGTATAAGTTGTTCAATGTGTTGATTTGATATATATTGAAAAACATATATTGAAAAACACCACACTATTAGCTAACACCACCATCACATCACATAATTACTATTTATTTTGTGTGTGTGTGAGAACATTTAAGAACTACTCTCTTAGCAACTTTAAAGTATATAATACAGTATTATTAGCTATAATCATCATGCTGTATATTAGATCCCCAGAACTTATTCATCTTACAAGTGGAAGATGATATTCTTTGACCAACATCTTCCCATTTTCCCCACACTGCAAGTCCCTGATAGCCACCAGTCTAGTCTCTGTTTCTATGAGTTCAGCTTATTTAGATTCCACATATGAGGGACATCATGCAGTATTCATCTTTCTCTGTCTGAGTTATTTCACATAGCATAATGCCTTCAAGGTCCAACCATGTTGTTGCAAATAGAATTTCCTTCTTTTTCATATTCATAGCTGAATAATATTCCAGTGTGTGTGTGTGTGTGTGTGTGTGTGTGTGTGTGTGTGCGCCACATCTTCTTTATCCATTCATCCATTGACAGACACTTAGGTTGTTTCCATATCTTGACTACTATGAATCAATGCTGCAGTGAATGTGGAGGTGCAGATATCTCTTTGAGGTGATGTTTCCATTTCCTTTGGATATATACCCAGAAGTGGAATTGCTGGATCATATGGTAGTTCTATTTTTACTTTTTAACTCTGATTTCCATAGTAACTGGACCAATTTACATTCCCACCAACAGTGCATAAGTGTTCCCTTTTTTCCACATCCTCACCAAATACTCATCTCTTGTCTTTTTGATGATAGATATTTTAACAAGTATGAGGTGATATCTCATTGTGTTTTGGATTTGCATTTCCCTGATGATTTGTACTATTGATCACCTTTTCATATATACAACAGCCATTTGTGTATCTTCTTTGGAAAAATGTCTACTCAGTCTGTGCAGTTCCTCTGCTCATTTTTTTAATCAGGCTGCTTGGGTTTTTTGTTGGTTTTTTTGTTTTTGTTTGTGTTTTGTTTTGATGAATTTTTTTTGTATGGGTTTCATACATATTTTGGATATTAACCCCTTATTAAATATATGAGCTGCAAATATTTTCTCCCATTTGTTAGTTTGCCTTTTCATTTTGTTGATGGTTTTCTTTGGTATAAAGAAGCTTTTTAGTTTGATATAGACCTATTTGTTTATTTTTGCTTTTGTTGCCTTTGCCTTTGGTGTCAAATCCAAAAAAACCATTGCTAAAACCAGTGTTAAAGATTTGTCCTTGATGTTTTCTTCTAGGAATTATACAGTTTTAGGTTTTGTATACAAGTCTTTAATCA